GGATGATAAACATTTGTATCAGGTCAACAAAACATGGGCACAGTAACAATATTTATTATACAACATTTATCCATTTTGAATACACTAACCTTACTCCTTTGTAACAACTAAAGCAAAAATGTGATTAATTCAGAAAATCTTGTCAGGACCCCATCTTGATGACCCCAACTTTGGGAAACGCTGTTCTAAGATATAGGTAGATATTAAAGATATAACTTTGTCTGTTACCATAATATCTAGATTTCAGTGAAAATCTCAGATTGACTCATCTTCTAAAACTCATTGACATTTAGAGTCAACCTAATTAGCTACAACATCTAATTGAAAATAGCCGACACATAAATGGGTATATCTCAGCCAATTTTACAGATACCGAGCTACAACTTGATGGGATAGTAGCTGATAGTCACCTTCAGTACATACTCCAAGATCTCACAGCACGAGACCAAAATGGCTACAACTTCATCCCTTCTCATCTAAAGATAATCTTCAAGTTTTTTTTTTTTTTACATTTTGAACAAAAACAGCTATACAGAATTCATTTCCACCCCCTGCTGCTCCAAACAATATCTGGTGTGCAGCCAGACGAAAACAGGCTGCATCAAAACAGCCGAGTCACGAAGATGACGCCAGTACAGTCATGTACACATGAGCCTTGAGTTCAGAACACATCACCAGTTTCTGTAAGGCTTTTCACCCACAGTATAGATAAAAAAAAAAAACCACCAGCATGATAACGCTCCTGTGACAGTGTGTGTACGTGTGTGTGTATGTATGGGGTGGGGGTGGGGGGGGGCATCAGTGGGAGAGCAGTGCAGGAAGGGAACCATCTTTTCCTCCGGTGCCTCCAGCTCGAGCACCGGATATGGGCATGCACCTCCAAGCTGTGGGCAGAAATGCCCTAAAGGCAAAAATAAAACACGCAGACAGCCCCAACGCACGAGTTCCATATACAGCGCACTCACAGTCAAAGCGTGCGTGCAAGAACACAAAGCAGGCAAACAATGGCTGTCACACAATGAGTAACAGGAACACGGCCTGCGCCGCACGACCTCGAGGAACGGCAGTAATTACACTGTCGTTTTGTCTCTGACATCTGTCCCGGCCGCGCCCTCTGACTATTTCTGAGCCGTAGCTGATGAAAAGCTTGAGCTTGGCATCTCATTTACGCAGGTATGCACACACACACACACACACACACACACACACACACACACAC